TGCAACAACCAAATATTATTTCAAATCCTTTTCAAACTTTGGAAAAGAAAAGCAAAGGTCAGTCTTTTGTACATAGTTGGAAATATAAATTTAACACATTTGACACATTCCAAACGGTCATTCAATATTTTGTGTTAATTTAATACAATATGATTATATATATTATATATTAGGAAATAATGCAAACATTATATGCAAATTTTACACAAAAAATGTAACACTGACAATTTGTAAGCAATTATATATCTTCATTAAAATTAACATTTATAATATAAATTAATTAACATATTTCAATAAATTTAACTTTTACAATATTATATTATTACATATTTATTATTACACAGTATTTATTATAGTTTATTTATTTGTCTTAAAATGTATTCTTTGAAAAACATTTTTATGTGATTTATTCGCTACTCACAACTGTATTACTTTAACATTGAAAAATATTGAAAATCAATTTAATACAAAATATTAAAATAATCACAGTATGTTAAATAACATTAACAATAAGTTAAATTAACACTGGAATATATTAAAAATTTAACACAAAATTTTAACAAAGACTTGAGTGACCATCTGTAACACAAATACAAAGTGTTTCTTACTGTGTAGCCTTCTTGCATTTTATTATTTTATGTTATTTAATTATTTTTTTTAGGAGAAAATTCCACACAAGGATATTTAATATCAATAAATCGAAAAGTAGATGCAGTCTTAACTATTCTTCATGAACACAATATCCTTCAACAGCAAATTATTCTTTGAATTTATTACCTAATTTTCCGTTAAATTCAATGGAAGACTTTAAAAAAATTTGTAATGATTTAAAAAAGAAGAACTACGAAATCAATTTGTAAGTTTAACATTATTTTTTATTAATAAAAAGATGAATATATTTTTAAAGTTACATTTCGTATTTGATATTTTTTACAGCAAAAAAAGATTCTTATGATAGATGGAAAATCAGCAGAAAAATAATCATTTTCAATGATAACTTGGATATGTTGCTGGAAAATGTAAAATGGTAAGCACTAATTAGTGAGACTTATGACGACATTATTGATTCAATCAGTTGGCTCACTACATATGCTGAGGATTCAGTGGAATGCGAAGCTTCTAAAAATTTGTGGTGGGGATCATTATTTAAAAAAAGAAACTTACGATAAGTCTTATTACATCAGTCGCTCTGTGGACCGCTCCTACTACATAGAGCAGATTTTGCTTTTACTGTATTAAAATGTATATTACCCTTGAAAACGTCTCACGCTGTGAATTATTACGTTCCAATTCAACAGGATGAGACGTGTGAGAGACAGTAAATTTATTCAATTTTTATAAAATTTTGATTATACATTTTATACATTATGCATTTTTCTAAGGTTTATTTACATATTTTCTATTTTCAGCGCATCTTCTCATACATCTTCGAAATCTCGCTACATACCTCATATCTTGATGAGGAGATTGCATTGACAGCGTATAAATTCTTGGACATCGGGATCGTCATGGGATCTACGTCTCATGTAGAAATTGCGATCTACGACAATCGAGAAAACCGCATAATCCTGCCTCATGCTACGTGAAAGGCGTTCATCGAGAGATGTGCAGATATTGAGCAATTAATACAGTCAACTGTCCCATCATCATCATCATCATCACCGATTTAAGATCTGAATCTAGAACTTGTTAAAGTGATATGAAAAACGTAAAATTGTCATTGTATGATACATGCTTGTACATGAAATCAACAACCATATTTTTCTTATTTGAGCTCGAGCAATGTATCGAGCATGCGTACTATAAACTAAGTCAATGTACGCACGGCGTTAGTGAAAAATTCAAATATTTTGTATAATTTCTAAGACAAAATTGTATTACTAATAAACGCGATGCTGTAAACACTTTACACAAAATTTATGATAAAAATTCTATTATAGAATGTAAACTAATGGTATATGGTTTAAATTATATTGTACATGCTGCATTAAATATTAGATAAATAAATCTATATTAAAAAATTTCTTTGAAAATTGATCTTTTTCCTAATCTCTTCATCATTCCTTCTTTATATCTTCATGATAATAAATTACTTAATAAAGCGCGTCCGGCTGATTGACTTATACCATTAAAATATTATTAATATTTGCTTGTATCATTCTATTGTAAAATCGCATCATAAAAGTCGTAAAATAAAAACCATATCTTTTTAATAAAATCGCATGCGAGAAAATATATATCAACAATTTGTGACTACTATACAAAATTGTATTAACAATAAATGTGATGTATTAAAAAATTACGTGAAGTTTATGATGAAACTTCAATCATGGAGTGTGAATTAGTAATGTGCGCTTCAGATGAAATTGTATATATTGCAATACAATTAAAGTAAGAAATAAATTAATATTTTATAAAAAATATAATGATATTTACAAATTAGTTCGGTCCGTTTTCCAAAAGATGACTCCGGGTGTTGTGAATGGTTTATAGTGACAGCTGATTTTGGCGTTTTCAGAGAGGTTAGACATCTGCTAATAATATTCAGTTTATATCGTTTCGAGTTTCATACAAAAATCTTGATTTTTACTGTGTTTGAAATGTCAGTTTACGAGCCAAATTCTCATCATTTGCGGGAGGTTCTAATTTTCTGCTTCAATAGGTATAAAGAAATCTGCGGCTGAGGCTCATCGAATGCTCTCAAATACCTATGGTGAGGCCGCTATTAGTGAAAGAATGTGTCGTGAGTGGTTTCAACGCTTCAAGAACGGTGATTTTGACGTCGAAAACCAGCATAGCGGTGGAAGAGAGAAGGTTTTCGAAGATGCAGAATTGGAGGCATTACTTGATCAAGACTCGTGTCAAAATCAAGAAGAATTGGCACGATCATTGGGAGTGACTCAACAAGCCATTTCCAAACGCCTCAAAATCATGGGAATGATTCAGAAGCAAGGAAATTGGGTGCCGTACGAATTGAAGCCGAGAGATGTTGAACAGTGTTTGTTTGCTTGTGAACAAAGGCAAAGACGGAAGGGATTTCTGCATCGCATTGTGACTGGGGACGAAAAATGGGTTAACCGTTACGATAACCCCAAGCGCAGAAAATCATGGGGAGTTCTTGCCCATGCTTCCACGTCGACGACCAAACCGAATATTCACGGCTCCACGGTCATGCTCTGTATTTGGTGAGACCAGCGTAATGTATTATGAGCTGTTAAAACCGACTGAAACAATCACAGGCGATCAGTATCGAACGCAATTGAGCGTTTGAGCATTGAAAGACAAACGGCCGCAATGCAACGAGAGACACGATAAAGTGATTTTGCAGCATGACAATGTTCGACCCCATGTTGCGAAAGTGGTCAAGACATACTTGGAAACGTTGAAATAGGAAGTCCTACTCCACTCACCGTATTCTCCAGAATTGCTCCCTCTGACTATCACTTGTTTCGATCAATGGCACACGGTCTGGCTGACCAGCACTTCCGGTCTTATGAAGAAGTCCAAAAAATTGGATCGATTCGTGGATCGCCTCAAAAGATGACCAGTTTTTTCGATGCGGGATTCGTACGCTGCCCGAAAGATGGGAGAGAAAGTAGTAGCAGCGATGGACAATACTTTGAATCATAAATGTATAACCAGTTTTTTACAATAAAGCCTCAAATTTCGGAAAAAAACGGCAAAAGCAAAGTTGTACACTTAATATTATAGAATTTTTTAAATTATTTTTAGCCTCCTTTTTGCCTGCCTCTATTTAGCGGTTTAGAATTATATAATAAAAAGGCATGCAATTTTTCCTCAAATAAGTTAATCAAATTATTAAATAAAAATAAAAATTGAATAATAAGAAATTATAATTTTAATTTCTATTTTTTTCTTGGTTTCCTCCACAATCCTAAAATATTTTTTTCGCTCCCTTCTACGACATCATTCGTTTGTCACGTAACTTTGAAATCTGCACTCCTGTTTCTTCTTACTGCGAGTGGAAAAAAATCTTCTTTCTCTTTTATTAAATAAATATAATATATTGTTTTACGATTTTTTAATGATATGATTTAGCAATGATTTTAATTTAACAACTAATTATAATAATATTTTTAGTAATGTAATATAAATAGAGAGCTGAGCGTTCCTAATTATCAAACCATTATAAACTATTATTGAGTAACTATCGAATACTTATTATGCTACGTCGTACTATTGAACAGCTATCATATTATTAATTAATTCTAAATAATAGTTATTTAAATCTCGTCATACACCTCATATATTGAGAAGAAGATTTACACTGACTCTTACAGTTTATACAACTACCTGGATGTCGGAATCGTTGTGGGACCTGTGTTTTTTGTGGAAATTGCAATTGGCAACAACCAAGGTAACAACATAATCTTACCTCGTGCTATGTGGCTTTCACCGAAAGACGCGCGGATATTGAGCGATTCATGCAATCAATTATACCTTCATCATTATCGGTTCAAAATCTTGCGATAGAAATCGTAAAAATGCG